ATCTCGCGTCATTATATATATACTATGCGTGTATGGCGAATCAAGTTATCTTTCTATAAAGTGTGTATGTAAGTAGTCGTGGCCGAGCGGTTAAGGCGATAGACTAGAAATCTATTGGGGTCTCCCCGCGCAGGTTCGAATCCTGCCGACTACGCCATACTCTTTTTATTATTTCATCTCACGTGTGCGATATAATCGGCATACTGCAACAGTCTCGAAGGCTTCGACACACACTATACACTTTTGTTTATGTTTCTTTTATTCTTTCTTCTTTGCAATGTAGGAAATTTCTGACGAATTTGAGAGAACCAAGGGCCTACAATTCTATACACCAGCAAAACCAAAAAGTCAAAGAAATCTGACCGCATGTTTTAATGGTTGCCAGCAATCTTATAAAGTTGTCGATGAAAACTATGTTTTTTATCTCCGCCACCCTCTGCGCCACCCGATCACAATGATTCCGGAATTGCAATAACTACTACTGCAATCCTCTCTTGTGTTGCATGTAAATTTTGTCAGTCGGCTTGCTTGGTTTTAACTTCGTGCCTCCTCCATAATTTCTAATGGTACACCCCTCATTCTTAACAACAGAAGACAAATGACACTGGCAATGTAGCCCGGTGTATATGTAACACGGATGACAATATGGATCAGAATGCCGTAAATTATGCTTTTATTTCGGTTATTGAAAACCATATCTTTGAATGTTTCGTAACCTCCTTTTCGACACGCGAGACTCAATATTTATCAATCCCAGCCCTTTCTAAAATATTGCAGCCGAAACTTGAAACAAGACCAAGCAAACATACGTACGTCGAACATGAGCCTTTGCGCTCTTATCGTGTGCTGTTATCATCGCTTGGGACTCAATTCTCGCGCGTGCGCAGATGACGACCCTCCCGCTTTAAAGGCCGACATTTACGACCCATGGGCTGGGCGGAACTTAGTAATCTAATTTGACTGATTATTCAACGACAGCAACTGTCAATCGTTCATTAAATGTAGATATGTGTATGTGTATGTGCATACTAGTAGTTACTGATCTGAGCGCGGCTGTGTAAAGTGAAATAAGCAATTCATTTCTGGTGACGAGGCAGCTTGTTGGAATCCGAATTCAAGTCGGGTGTACTAGTATGCACAGTTCATTCTAAAGTGACATGAATAGAAATCAACATCACCCTTCACAACATTGTAGGGCTGACCAAAGAGAGTCGGCCAGGGGTATTTTCGTAAGCTGTAATCAATTGTTTTTATTTTCGTGATAATGTAATTTAAATAAATATAAAACATAAATCCGTAGACATGGGCAAGGTGTAAAATGTAATAGGCTATTTTATTCGTCCGTAATTTGTACAAAGTTATTTTACAATGTTATTTTTTGTAAGCGCATAAAGCACTTTTCAAATTAAATGTCGTAATTCGTATGCAATTTCCAAGTTTGATTCTTAAACTCAAATTATCAAAAATATTATAAAAATGTAAAATGTAATTAGGAATTTGCTTTATCTGTAAAGTGTAAAAACCTA